TAACCGTCGCCACTATCGCCTGCACCAATCCTCTTTGGACGTGTGTCCTCCTGCACATGGGGTATGCTGTCAGTGGTGGTTATCGCTATCCACCACTGCCTTCTCGACACGTGTCCCCCTGCACATGGGGTAAATATTCCCCTGGAATTCTGTCAGAGGCTTCCTTCACGCGCCTATGACTAGGCCGAACAGCGTGGTGTTGAGTCCTCGAGGTAATCGACCTGTCGAGGTCGAATAGGTTGCTCGATCGTGTATCTGGTCGAAGGATAGTTTGGTCGACAGCCTTGCTTGGTCGACTAGTTGACTGCTCGATTTCTTTGGCTTCCTCAGAGTACGACCTCCTCGACCGGTCAACAGACCGGTTCAGCCTTGTGGGTATAATATCCCATATCATCTAGTCCCCCCCACTCTGGTCGAGTCTAAATGATTCGATCTAATAGTGAATTAGCATTTATCGTCCTTCTGGATGGTTTGTCGTTAGATATCGACCAGCTGGTAAGCTTCCCGCTGATTTTTTCAAATAATTCCCCATTAATCACTAGAGATAAAGTTATCTGCTTTAAGTCCTCTCTGTCGCATCCGTTTTCTGCCACGCGTCACGTCTGTAACATGTGTCAGGCGCTTTAATTATTGCGCCTCCTCGCCTAACGCGTCCGTTTTGAGCTCCGTGCAAATTAAGACTCCCCATCGTTGGATCTACCTTTAATCTGACGGCCCTTATCTTTCCACCCTTCAATCACCAAAATATAAATTCCATACTTAGCGTATTTTTCAGCTTTTTCCACCCATTCAATTTTCGAATTACTCTGTGCCCAGAATTCTCTTCTGCAAAAACTTTTATTTTCTCGACGGTTTCTCCTGCGCCCTTTCAAACTTCCATCAATTATCCATCCACGGTTATGAGTAAGTCTCTTTACACTTGAATTTATATTCTTTGTAGTTCTATTTTGTATATTCTTGGATTTTCAATATTGGGTGTTCTCGATCTGCCTGCTGAATTGCTCCTAATTGGCTTGTCTTGTGTTGAATTTGCGTTTGGGATACTCTTGCTTGTCTATTGAATGTTGAGGATTTTGTCTCTCCTTTGAAAATTTTTTAAATTTCCGTCCCTTTACTTTCCTAATTCTCCTCCTGGTTTTTGGGTTGCTCTCCCGTAAAACCCTAATCTTTCTTCTCCCCTCTTTCTTCCTTGCGACAGCTTCTTTTTGATATTTGTTCTCTTTGTTTTTGTTTTGATTTTCTTTTCAGACTCTGAGACCTCCTCCGATTCAGTTGAAATACTACCCTCTGCACTCGAAGCTGTCCCCCTCTCTATCCTTCGTCCCGGCGATACAGTTCCTACTCGCGTTTTTACGGCTCGGACTTCTTCCCCTAATTCCGGAGACACCATGGATAATATCCCTCTTCGTCGTCGTCGAC